TCCGTGCCCTCTTTCGCCCTGTTGTCCGCTGTACTCCTTGTGCTGACCATGTTAACTGAAAAGTTCGTCTTCGTTATCTTTGGGCCCGTTGATGTCGTTCCGCGCAGCGATGAATTATATTTCGTGTTTGATCCACTTGACCTTTTTTCGAGCACCGGTACCCTACTCCGCCTCATTATTTCTATTTACAACTGCTTTTATTTACAATTTTATTATATACACGATTCTATTCTAAGGGTAAAAAAAAAATATTTTTTGTGGTAACAAATTCTGTACAACGTGTTAAAAACCTTATCCAATTCTCTTCCTAAAACCTCCGAAAAATTTTCCTTAATTTGGTCTTAACCCTACCTATTTCGATTTGTCTTATTCTGTCTTAAAACGCACTTGTTGTAATTTGACTTCAATTTCTATACCGTCCCAAGACTATTCGTCACTATCACAGTACTCTCCGTTAGTGTCCTAAGACCCTTGTACCAAGACCACTGTTCCAAGACTAGTGTCCCAAGACTACTGTCCCAAGACCAGTGTCCCAAGGCTAGTGTCCCAAGACTACTGTCCCAAGGCTAGTGTCCCAAGGGCAGTGTCCCAAGACCAGTGTCCCAAGACTACTGTCCCAAGACTAGTGTCCCAAGGCTAGTGTCCCAAGACTACTGTCCCAAGACTAGTGTCCCAAGGGTAGTGTCCCAAGACCAGTGTCCCAAGGCTGGTATCCCAAGACTAGTGTCCCAAGACTAGTGTCCCAAGGGCAGTGTCCCAAGACCAGTGTCCCAAGGCTGGTGTCCCAAGACTAGTGTCCCAAGACTAGTGTCCCAAGACCACTGTCCCAAGACTGTCCCAAGACCACTGTCCCAAGACCCTGTCCCAAGACCACTGTCCCAAGACCCCTGTCCCAAGACCCTGTCCCAAGACCACTGTCCCAAGACCCTGTCCCAAGACCCTGTCCCAAGACCACTGTCCCAAGACCCCTGTCCCAAGACCCTGTCCCAAGACCACTGTCCCAAGACCCTGTCCCAAGACCACTGTCCCAAGACCACTGTCCCAAGACCCTGTCCCAAGACCACTGTCCCAAGACCACTGTCCCAAGACCCTGTCCCAAGACCACTGTCCCAAGACCCTGTCCCAAGACCACTGTCCCAAGACCCTGTCCCAAGACCACTATCCCAAGACTGCTCTGTCCCAAGACTTCTTCGGTCTTGTTTTAATACTCGTCACGGAGTGTCTTCCTCGTTGTAGGGTCTTCTTGAACCACCGTACCTTGTACCACCACTCAAGCTCTAGTAAAATTTTCCCAAAAACCCTCTCTTAAAAGCCAAATGCTGACCCCCCTCTTCTTTTTGGTTGTTTCTATTTCAATGTAGGTGCGCAGGTATCTTGTGATCACCTGTTCGTATAAAACCAAACACAAATCCTCAATAAAATGCAACAAAAATTTTAAGTAAGAAAAATAATAAAAACAGAAAAATGAGCCCACCTAAAATTTAAAGGTGACCAATGTCTACCTTTCGTCTAAAAAAAAAAAATTTGTCTGGTACCTAATTGCCACGCGTTTTCCTCCCCCCACTAGTGATCTTATGGGGTATCACAAAAGCTGTCTATATCCGGTCCCCCCTACCAAACCAACCAGCGTACCAGTCTTAACTCGAGTTGAATTTTGGATCTCCACCTAATATTACCAACGCGTGTTAATTTCTAATGTAACTAAGTCAACGATGTCGACTAATTAGTTACTCTAATTTCCCCCTTTTTACAATTTACAACCGCCAACCTCTAACTTAACCAGTCCCCCTTCTAACCTCCCCCCTTTCTAGCCCCCCTTCTTAAGCCTAAAAATTACTTTAAGCGCCGGGTGCTAAACCTCTCAAGAGAAAACCGTAGACCTGTTTACAGGCCTGCTCAAGTAAAAACGTTCCTCAAAACTGGGGGATTTCGCTTATCCAATTTTACACTTATCTCCTATAATGTAATGTGGATTCTAACGATACCCGTTCTGCCCAACTTGAGAACTCGAGAATTGCCAAATCCCTCTTGGCTGCTTTCCCACTCGACTGGTCACCTGTTCCAGTCCAGTCTCCTATTGGTTCAGCTAAGTGTCCCTGAACCACTTTCCCACTCGGCTGGTCACCCCTTCCAATCAAGTCTCCTATTGGTTCAGCTCAAGTGTCCCTGAACCACTTTCCCACTCGGCTGGTCACCTCTTCCAGTCAAGTCTCCTATTGGTCCAGCTAAGTTCCAAGCTATCTGAAAACCCTTGACAACGCCCCACTTCGGGCACTTTATTCAGTTTACTGGTTTAAATTGCTAGGTTGATCGAAACGATCGAACTTGTAAAACAGTATGGGTATACTATTTAATTAATATAAAGGTTTGATCCAACTAATCTGGTGTCAAAGTCACTGTCTTTTTTCGTTTTATGGTTTTTGTTCCTTTTTCTATTCTTTTTTGGTTTTTGTTTTGCTTTCTGTCTTTTTGCTCGTGTTTTTGTCCCCCTAGTTGCCCCCCTTTACTCGGTTAGCTAAGCCTCGTTCGGAGAGCGTACCAGGAAATTTTCTCGAGTTTTCTTAAAAAGCTATCACGGTACAACCGGAAGGTTTGCACGTTCCTGTCGAACCGTACCGCCGGTACTCTAGAATGGGCATTCAGCCCGAAGCTGTCTCAAGTGGGTTCGACTCCGTAGTCTTGATGTCGTAAACACCCAGGAGCGCCATAAAAACACTATGTAACATTCGTCTACTACAGTCACACACGAGGCTTAAGAAAAATAGGCCCTATAACTATTGGCTCGGGAGTCAGGGACACTATCTCTTGTGTTTTTCCGCCTCAAATCAGTCGGAGCCAATTCGGTTCGCTTGTGACATGAGACTACGACCCGTCACAGCTTAAAGGCTACTACTAAAATATCCCCCCACTCTAGAATTAGAAACGTCCCCATACTTAGGTCTCTAGATACCCAAAATACATGAACGCCGTTAAAAACCGGGTTGGAACAATCCGTTAAGTTACTTTTTATTAGACAGTGTAACTTTGATCCATTTCAGATGGATCAACCTAAAACTCGCCTTACCTCAACATAACAATCGTAAAACACACTCTAGAAATTTAAATTAAGGACTCACATGTTGATGCGCTCAAGAACCAGGAAGTAATTAAATGGGTGAGCAACTCTAGAATTAACTAAGGTAACTAGATAAGTTCAATGTTTATCAGTTTGAATGGTAAGGGTAAGTTTGAACTCAAGAACGAAGTTTTATGTGGACCATTGGGACACTCAAGCTGTCCACCTTTCCGTCGAAGGTTCACTCCGGTTCAGCTCGAATAATTGCTCTCTCGGGAATACTCCGTCTTCTATTCCAGACAGGACAGCTCTACTCTTGTTCACTATGATGGAAATTGCGAATAGCAATTTCCCACTCGTTTTTTATATGACAACTTTCCCGCGTGTGTGTCTTAAATTGTTCTCCTTTCTTTTTCTGATTTTCAGTTCTCGCGAGAAAATCGTGCATGACATGTTCCATTCGAAATTTTAAAAATTTAAATTTCACTCCAAAATCAAGTGTTTTCTGCTCTTCTCAAGGTCAAACTTCCAAATATGACCGACTGGCACAAATTTTATCTCCTGAAAGAAGTTGTATACCTCTTCCACTTTGATGTAGTATGGCGATAGAACCGATGGGTTGTTGAAGCAATTTGTAACGACGGTATTGTCGTTAGGTAGTAGTGAGCATGCTATTGTGGCTCCTGGTATTCAGTTTTGTAGTGATATTTCTTCGGATATGTAAGTCTTTTCCACTGTAGTGAGACACGTTACCCAGTCGTAAATAGAGATGTTTCCTTTTTTCCGTCGCTGTTAATTGATTGGGCGAATGTTCAGTGTCCGGAGACCTTTATAAACCGTTATTCATTCGTTTACTCAAGTCAAGTTTTTTTTATGACCATTAGGCAGTGCCTCTTGTGGTCATTTCAAATGTTTTTCTTATCTCCGTTCGAATTCTTACATGTCAATTCCAATCGCTTTCCAATGTTTGTCCAGTTTCCACTTGAATTCGTCGATGGTCTTGCTTTGCACTGTTTCCTGTGGCAGATTGTTCCAGTCGAGAGGTGCTCTTACCGTGAAGAAATTTTTTTTCGCATTTCTAGATTTGCTTTACCTACTACTTACTTTACAAGCGTTACATCTAGAATCCCTATCATTCCGCTCGAATAGTCCCGCAGTGGGATTCCTATCATAGAAACCATAGCAGATTTTATACATTTCTATCATTGTCCCTCTTCTCCTTCTGTATTCCAGCGATGATAGATTCAGTTCTTTAAGGCGTTCGTAATAGGATAGATTTTTTATACCACTAACTAGACGCGTCGCTCTTCTTTTTACGTTTTCCAAGATCTTTTGATGCTTGGTCAACCTTGGGTGCCAGATTAAGTTCGCAAATTCAAGGTGTGGCCGTATCAAGCATTTGTAGATGTTTAAAAATACTTGCTTCATGACTTTAGTGAAGCTTTTCTTAATTACTGCTATCATGCCGTTTGCCTTATTGGCTTTTTTAGTGAGAGTGGGTGAACTTTTGTTCACAGCTGAGAGATGGTAACTCCACCTTGATCGACGTCCCCGAAACAAATTGATTGTCTCTGATTAAAGCCACTTGAAAAGCACGATCTTCCGTGTCCTGGTCTTGAGCCACTAGCTTTAGGAATTGATTTCTCTCTCGTCACGATTGGTCCACATTTGGATAATCTCATCGAAAATTTCAATAAAGTTCTGCAAAAGATTTTGATAAAATTTGTGAAATTTTTGTGAGGAATTTTTTGTTTTTCCAGTCATACTTCTTGAAAATTTGTTGTCCATTTGGACTATTTTGCATGCAATGATTGTCGAGCATGCCTAAGTTTTAGTTTTTTGTTCAGATATTTTTATCACACCACGCAGAAAAAAAATTAAATTAGTTTAAAAAATTTGTATTTTCAAGACTAGTCGGACATTTTGTTATAACGCACAGTAGCCGGCTGTTCTTGGGAAATTTTGGTTACGTTTCAGAAATGTGAGCGATAAGTGTGTTCGCGGATTATTTAACCCGAAACTTTGAGCGTGAGTATTGGCACAATGAAGTCGGACGCCCTCTTCCTTGCTATCGGTGAATTCGGTAGATTTCAAGTTCTGACCATATTGTTTCTCACAATGTTAGGCATCATTGGTCACTCAGACTTCTTAACTTATACATTGTTTTACAACACGCCCGAACATACGTGTGTGATACCAAAACAATATCTTGATAACGAGACACGCAGCTTGATATCTGCTCAAAATTCGACTGTTGACCAAGCATTCCAGTACAAAGGCAAGGATGACGATGAGCTTCTTGATACTTACTGTAACCACTACATTACGCCATATTTACCTCTAGCTGATGAATCAGAACCAGAAACAGTCAAGTGTTCTGAGTGGGAGTTCAATAAAGGTTACCCATTTGGAAAAACGTTTGTCTCTTCGTTTGATATGCTTTGTCAATATAAGTTTCGGAAGGCTTTGGGTCAATCATTAACAGCAATTGGGTTTTTAATTGGTGCTGTAACTTTTGGATTTCTTTCTGACCGTTACGGGCGTGTGAATACACTAGCTCTAGCTGCATTTTTGAAATGCATTTGCAATTGGATGCTGGTTGCAGCAGAAGGTGCAGATATGCTATGGCTCTTCTATATCAGCTATTGTTGTGTATGCGCGTGCTCTCATGGATTGTACTTGGTGTTTTTTGTGTACATAATTGAAATAACGGGACCAAGAATGCGCTTGTTTGCTCCTGCTCTTCGGAACCTGTTTGAAGTTGTCGAGGAAGTGTACTGTTTAGGACTTGTATACGTTTTTATGGACTGGACCCACTTCGAAATGACGCTTGGAATATGTGGACTGCTGATGTTACTAGTTCTCAAATATTGTTTCGAGTCACCGCTCTGGTTGATATCCAAAGGTCTTGAAACACAGGCAGAATATGTGCTGCTTAGAATAGCTGAAATTAACAAGCGAACGGTTCCGACTGAACATATGCGCAATTTCATAGCTCAAGCACTTTCCGAAGAGTACAAGAGTTCATCAGTGCAATCTAATGGGTCTTCACAGTCTGCATCAGCAGCTCAAAGTTGGACTAGATATCTGAATGTATACTTCATAAGTGAGTGACCTTTCGCAAGCTTCCGACTTTTTTTTGAAGGTTCAGCTTTCTTCCAAGTTGCTGTACCACCCATGCTTGATACGACAAAGCCCGATAGCTCGATTCAAGTCGGGAACTGTTTTTTTGCAAGCTGAAATTTTTCTGTGCTCGAATTAATTTTTTGCACGGCTGCAGATATCGGTTTTAGGTTTTTTGACTTCTTGAGTTTGATATGTTTGATTTCTGCGCTCTTGATGACGCAAATGTCTTGGATAAAAGTTACATAAGAGGCTGCTCGGAATTTAGCTTACTTGTTGATGCTTCAATTTTTTGAGCAAAAACTTACATGCCTAACTCAAAATAAGAAAAAATCAATTGAAGATGTTTTTAAAAAACGCTTCGTTCAAGGTGTTAAATGTGTTTTTTTAAAAGAATTGAAAATTTTGCTTTTTAACAGTTTTTTCTGTTAATAGTTCAAAAGGCTACATTGTAAGTTCTTGCTGTAACCGCATTCAGTTTCTATCAAGGGCCTGGAAATTCGTGAATTTATATTTTAATTGCAAACAGCCATTGTAAAATCAGTTTGTTGTTCTAGAGTCAAAAGTATCGGGGAAGTTGGAGGACTTGAGGATCTTCGTTAAAAGCTACCCGAACATATGCATCAAAGGCATTCTCTTCGGAATCAACTGGTGTGTAGTTTCGGCAGGCTTCTACGCAATCTTTTTCTCCGTTCCTAATTTAGGAGGAGACAAGTATTTCAACATATTCCTCATCAGCGTGATCGACTACCCCATGTACTTTTTCTGCTACCTCTTCATGGAGAGATTTGGCAGGAAGTTTGCCTACTTGTTGTCCATGGTGGCCGGAGGTATGACTGGCCTCCTAATTATGATCTTCAGACACAGTGATATAGACGGGATGGTGACGGCGCTGAGTCTATTCGGCGCAATGTGTTTCTCGTCCTGTTACACAATCATATACATCTGGACTTCAGAAGTGTTTCCAACTCCCATCCGCAATTCTTCCATGGGTTTCTGGTGAGTGGAACATAACAGCCATTTTTTAGACTAATTTTTAACAGCTTGTTTCTTTCATGTTTCATAGCTTTCCAGTTTTTATCAACAACATTTTTTTGGAATTATTCGATTTTTGTTCGTGATTTTTTAGTTTTTAGGCATGCGGAGTTTTGTTTTTCTTACGCATGCAGAGCGTAGTTACGCATGCAGACGAGACTGCAATTCCTCATACGATAATTTTTTTTAAATTTCGCTTTCTTGATATAATAAGAATCGCTTTTTGCTCAATGTCATTGACCATGGTGGATCAATTTTGATATCCGCGAAAAATTTCGGAGATAGTGGCAAAACTCTTATTTGGTTTCGGGTCATAACATGACGGACTTTTTCGTAATTTGGAGGCAAAAAAATTCTTTTCCGTCCTCGTTCTGCAGTTTATTGGAAAAATCTTGCTATTCGTTTCGAGATAGGTTTTCCAGCTTCGTGGTGGGATCGTTTTTGAGTTTTTCACGAAAATTGCGATCAATTATTTCATCTTGGGGCGTTAAATGATTATGGCTATAGGTATCTGTAAATCAAACGAAAAACTAGAGTCACAATTATTGTCACCATTTGTAATATTGAGTAAATCCTTTTTTGATTTTTTTTGAACAGAAAATCATTGCTTAATAGGTCCCCCCCCCCCATTTTGCATTGAATTTTTGAGAAGTTCATTGAGAATGAACTGAAATTAAGTTTGAAACTTGCTAAGTTGAGTGCAAGTTTTGTTTACAAAGCGTGAAATAATGTTGCTCAACCCAGACTTAATGGCGCCGCAGCCCCAGCTAATTGCTTGTCAATCAAAGTCTGCTAAAAGCCCCATTTTTTTAGTTTTCATGCTAAGCGATCGGTCCCCTTTTATAACAATAGCAGTGTATCTTGTTTACTTTTGCTGCATTAGCATTAAATTCGGTTCGTATTCGTAGGTCCCAAAATGAAAAATCAGTCCCATACGTCCCAAAATAAAAAAGCAGTCGCACAAGTCCCAAATCTTTTCAATTGGTCAAAAGACTAAACTAGCCGAGTCTTGGTTTAAGGTCGCCGTTGGGCGCGCTACGCGCGCGTCGCCGCTTCGTGGTGATAACCGACTCTAAATTTGGTATGGAGTCCTATTCTCTGTTGGCAAGCTCACAACACGTTGGCGCGGCTGCGGTGGTCACTATTCTGCAGCTTGAGTTTATGCTGCTTGAACAGTAAACAATCAATCCATAAATTCGATGACTCAAATTTCAACCAATCAGAATTCAACAAGATAAATTTTGGGACTTATGCGACTAATCTTTTATTTTCGGAGCTATGAATGTTGGGACCAATGAGAATTCACCTTAAATTCGGTGGGTATTCACAGGTACTAAAATGATAAATCAGTCCCATTTGTACCAAAATAAAAAATCAATCGCGTTAGTACCAAAAAGTATTCAATTGGCCTAAGGCTATTAAGCCGACTACTTTAAGCTATTTGTTTAAGGTCGCTGGTGGGCGCGCTACGCGCGCGTCGACGCTTGGCGGCGATAACCGGCTCTAAATTTCGTATAAAGTCCTACCCTTTGGTGGCAAGCTCGCAACACGTTAGCGCGACTGCGGCGGTCACTATTCTGCGGTTGAGTTTTCTTCTGTTTGAACAGTAGAAAATTAATCTAATAATTCGTTGGATCACAATTCGACCAATCAGAAATCGAGTTGAATAATTTTGGTACAAATGGGACCGATTTTTTATTTTGGTACAAATGGGACATCACCTTAAATTCGGTTTACTTTTGCTACATTAGCATTATATCCTTGTGTCTGGTTTATTGATAGCTAGTTTTTGAAGATTGTCAAGCTAACATGGCGCAGATGCTAGTAGGTGTGACTCTTACTCTCGTGATCGGGGGTTTGATTCCGACATATAATAACTTTTAGTTAGTTCTACCTTTTCTTTCCTTTTTTATTTTTTGACAATTATAGAGCTACTTTTTGCTATTTTTTTTGCTTGTGTTTGCAAAGTTCAGTTTTTTATTGGATAATACCTTTGGAAAAGTTTTGTCCAAAGAAGCGTATTTTACATTCTCTCCCACTATTCTTTGGGTGGTGGTCGAGAGTAGCCATTTCTATCAAGGCGCATGTCTAGTGCGCAGCAGATAACGTCTTTGCAGGTTATTTTGCAGGCTTATGTTTATTTTTGGATTGTTCTCAAACTGTCATATTTAGAGCTGATTTTCGCCGTTTAAATGGCTCCGCCTAAAAGTGCAGCTCTGTCTCTGTATGTTTTTTTTGTATTTTATTTACTAGTCAAATTGAAAAGATTTTTGATTATCATCATCCCGTGGTGTCTTTGATGAGATAAAATTAGATTAGAATTTTTACCTTGAATGAAATACTACTACAAACACTTCCAGGCTACTGTGTTTTGAGATAGAAAGCCTGAATTTGTGTTAAGTCTATCAGTTTCTTCATAAAGACAGTGAAGACCCTGCTTTGAACAGCCTTGTTTTTCATTCTAAACCTATCTCTCCTTATTGCTATTTAGAATTCATCAATGGATGAACCAGTAATTGTTATAAATCTGTTTTGTAAAAAAAATTTAAAGAAGGATTTCTTCTCTTTTCAGCTCAGGAGTTCTTCTCTTTTCAGCTCATGAGTTCTTCTGTTTTCTGCTCATGAGTTCTTCTGTTTTTAGCTAATTGAGTTCTTCTGTTTTCTGCTCAACAGTTCTTCTGTTTTCTGCTCATGAGTTCTTCTGTTTTCTGCTCATGAGTTCTTCTGTTTTCTGCTCATGAGTTCTTCTGTTTTTAGCTAATTGAGTTCTTCTGTTTTCTGCTCAACAGTTCTTCTGTTTTCTGCTCATGAGTTCTTCTGTTTTTAGCTAATTGAGTTCTTCTGTTTTCTGCTCAACAGTTCTTCTGTTTTCTGCTCATGAGTTCTTCTGTTTTCAGCTCATGATTTCTTCTCTTTTCAGCTCATGAGTTCTTCTCTTTTCAGCTCATGAGTTCTTCTTTTTTAAGCTCATGGTTTCTTCACTTTTCAGCTCACTGTGCGGCCGAATCGGCATGAGTGCGGTGCCCTTTTTCCTCCTTCTGGGAGTGGCTGCCGAGGCCACTATGTGCATGTTGGCATTCGGAGCCGCCATTCTGGCCAGTATGCTGCCAGAGACTAACAAAGTCCAGTTGCCCCAGGCGCTGCAGGAGGGCGAGAAAGTTGGACTCAGTGTCTTACCCGGAGGCCTCAGGTCATTTGGGGTCAAAGTGCAAAGTGCTTTTAGAAGTAAATACAACCGCGAAAGCCTCATTGACGAAACTGTTGAAGTTGAGCAAAGGCGAACACGAAGTAGTGTGGATGGTAACAGAACTACACAGGGTAATGGCGAGTTGGGTTTAGAAGTAGTTTCTACTGCTGCAGACATTCCAGATGTCAGTTTGACCTCACTTCGAGAAGAGGACAGTCCAGAACTGGTTTTTGTACCGGAAAGCCCTACTCGCAAGGGTAATGGAAGCAGGGAAAAAGGGCGGGAAGAAACATCAGACTTTGTTGTGCCAACTGATTCACATCAGCGAGATGAGGAAGACAGCTCTACCGATCCAAGCAATTCTACATTCCATATCGAAGTATGATTTGTATTACTTAATTTCAAGCTAAACTGAATTAATTTTGCGCAATATTTGTGTCCCATCACATTCCGTTTAAATTAAATGACTGAGTGTTTCTAAATTTATTCATTCATTATCCTAAAATAATTCTATTTTCATCTTTATTTCTGCACTAGATTACTTTCCCGCCATCTTGTAAAATGTAAATATTCAGTTTGAACCATCCCAGAAATTAATAAAAACAGTTCATTGACCGGTTTTGTTTCTTGTTTTGACAATCGATAAGTTTCACTAACACCCTATTAATGTTCGCTCAGGCGATAATCAAGTTTGTTGCTCCCGTGTTCTATACTTTTTTTCCCGTAAATGAACCTCATTCTTAGAAGAGTATATTTAGAAAGAAATGTTCAATATACAAATGTACACTTATATGTTCCGCCTATTTGGGCTCGCGCTTCCATTGTAGGTGTTAGATGCAAGATCTTACTATGTGATTTTTACCGCAATTGTTTCAGTTGGTTATTAGTTATCTGCCTTAATTTTTTCGGCTTACTAACCCAATGCTTTTTAAGTCATAAACGTTTTCTTGCGTTCTTGACTCTTTTTCAAATATCTGTTGGCTATGTTTTTCAATAAGTCTCCGGTCATTTTTTGTGGGCAGGGTTCTATTTTTTTACCATGTGTTTCTGAAACGGTTAAAATCAACTTCTCCGAATCTCTTTTAGATTTTTTAATATTTATTTTTTTTTCGTTTTTTTTGCTGTGTTTACTCTTGCGATAAGGCTTTTTTCCCATTAGCAAGGCTGTCTTGGAAATTTATTTTTATGTGGGTTGTAAATTTACCAACTCCGATTTCAGTATATCATTTTTTTCTCATTTTATTCGGCATGGAAGGTATCCTTAATAATATATCGGCTCGGAGGCCTTTTTTTGAGTCATATGAGGAGCAAAAGTGTTTTTCTAGTAAAGTTTCCTTTCGGCGTAACGTGTCTCAGCTCAAGAATCGTTGGCTTTTTTAATCTCTTTGTAAGTTTTGTTCCGGTGCTTATTTATCATGAAATAAATAATCTTATCTCTTGGCATAGTTTTTTGAAAGCATTTTTATTTCATAACAAAATGAGGACAAATGTAGGAAAATCTATGGTAGATTAATTTTTTTCGATAGATTTTCAAAAAAATTTCTACGGCTGTCATCTTTGTTTCTGTCGGTTAATTTGTAATGCTATGTATGTTTCGTAGCTCAAGTGAATCGAAGACTTCTTTGCCTCACTTTTTAAAGTTTCCAAAGGTGCAAATTCGGTTCCAAGATTTAGGATTTTTTTTTGAGAATTTTTTCGATGCATAGTGATAATCATTATTGTTTGTACTGCAAGCGATGCGAAGCTCTGCTTCGCTTCTGTGTATAAATTTTACCAGATACTTCGTAAGCGTCTGGCTTATATCCTATAGTTTTTGGTGAAGGTAATAGAAGTCATGTAATATACGCAATATTCTCGGTATAAATTTTCGATCAGTTTTTTATCAACCGCTTTTTTAGCTGGTTGGTTTAAGTGCTTTCTAGCCTATGTTTGTGGAACCATGACCGTTTTCAGCCATGGACTTGGGTGTCAGAAGCCTTACGTGCCATTTTTCGGAGTGTTCCAGGCTCAACAGTCGTCTTGTTTTGTCACCGCTCGGTAACCACCGTTAACGCTCGTAAAATTTTGCACGTTCGTTGATGCTAATTTAACGCTGGCAACCTCAATTTTGATTTTTGCAGTGACTTTTGATTCGTTTTAAAATCAGTTCATTTCCTTAAAAGGAAGGCAAACTCCACTATTGAACAGCAAAAATATGAGGTCCCGAAAAACGTCATCGTCTTCAAGTTTCGAAAGCGGATTTAAATTTTCAGTTTTACCAGTGAAATAAAAAATGTGTCTATTGATCTAGTTTTCTCAAATTGGGTTAATTTGTATTGAAATAGTTCGAAAGGCTTTAAGGGCACTTATTTGTTTTTTGAAATTCGAAAGTTATAATTTTTTCAAAAAACAAGTCAGTTTTTTTCTGGTTCATTGCGTTCATTGACTCTTTTCCAACTGTCTGTTGGCTATGTTGACTGATTTTTGATTATCTGTTGTTTGTTTTTTTCTCAACTTTTATTACGCTTGCGATCAGCCAGGGTATCACAATCGGGTACTGAACTTTTTTCTAGTAAATAACTTTGTTCCCAGGACTCATCTTCTGGATCCTGGACTCGGTCAGCTACTGGACCTTTGTATTACAGCAGGAATATTTTGAGCAGCTTAGCGTTTTAAATATCCGGCCTATTCGACATGATTTTTATGTTAGTTAAAGATTTCGCCAGCGCGGTTTGTTTTAATTTCTTTTTTTTTTAGTTTTTTTTTTGCTTAGATAGAATTCGACCTCTTTATAGTAGCTTAGTGGCCTCTTAGTTTGATTATTTTTGAGTTTTTATGAGGTTTTTTCAATTGAAGAAATTCTGCTCAGGCATTTTTGGCCTTTTTACCGCTTGGTAAGTTTTGTCCCGATGCTAATTTAGCATTCTTTTGTCGTTTTTCTTCATTCGTTTTGATAGATCTAGTTGTATGGCAAGAGGTGTGAAGCTCAGCTTTGCCGCTGTGTTAAAGTTAAGTTAATATTCTGTTGTAAGCTCACTGTTTGTTAGTTGTAAGTCTTCTATATTAATGTATTTCTTGTGTCTTACAATTTAGTCTCAAATGATACTTTGTCTTCCAAAAATTTATGCCCTGATTGTTTTGGTTTAGTTTCTTTCACGTAGACCCAATCTGTCCCCGAGAATTTCATACTGCTCTGTAGTCATGAGTTGCATTGTACTATTTTTTTAAAATACGTTTAATTAGAATTGGAAACTTCTCCCTTAAACAGTTATCTGATCATCAATCAATGAGCAGCCGTGGCTGAGTAAGTAAGACGGGCGGCTTTTAACACAAAAGATCTTGGGTTCGAATACCGCTTGGGTCGCGGTTGGAGGGTTCGCAGTTTTATCCGCCTCCTCAAGGTGGGACTGGCTGCGGCAAAATTAATGACATCTCTCTCTCCCACGGAAAAAAGGCCCAAGGTTGAATAGTGGGAGCTGGGCTGGGGGCTTATAAAAAATCCATTGATATTTGATTACCAACACTTTTGGTTTTTGTCATTTGATTTTGTTTACACTAGGAACAATACCGTATTTATCTTCTGTCATCGTGTGGAATCTCCATCAAACTTGTTAATTTCGTTCGACCTGGTTTCCGAGATGAGCTTTTTCTCCAATGGCACAGTTTTAATTGTTCTATCTAGGTTTTGACAAATGTTTGCTTAGAGAACGAGTTAGGAATTTTGTTGAGTTTTTTCGGCTTAGTGTTTTGTCACGAAAGTCTGTAGGCTGAGATTCGCTCTTCTCAGTTTCTCGCTAAAAGCTCAAATGGAAATTATCTAATGGCAGGCAGATATTTGAAACCGTTTTCAATGCGATAGAGTCAATGGCCTTGAATAGCGCTTCATCTTGGATCTCTGGATTTCATTTCAACTTTGGAAGTAAATAATATATGTTCTTGTTTTTTGAGCACCATCGTTCATTTTTGTCTTGGCAGTGCTGCGAAGTTTTTTTGGTTTTCCAGACTTTTTCTGTAAAACCATTTTTTCTGGAAAAAAAATAAAATTGATTTAGAAGACGTTTAAATGTAAACATGTGTCTATTGAAAAAACGAATTAGCGCTGGAAATTATGATTTGATCGTCTGAGTACGTTTCCGATTTAGTCTCAACTTATACATTACGTCTATCAAAAGTTTCTGATTGTCTGATTGTTTTGACTGAGTTTGTTTCACGCAGTCCCATTTTGGCCCCGAAAAGTTCATACTATTCTGTAGTCATGGGTTGCAATACACTATTATTTCTTAATAAGTTGAATTAGAATTGGAAACTTCTCCCTTAAAAGGTTATCTGATTATCAATCGATATTTGATTACCAGCAGTAGTGGTTTGTGTTACTTCATTTTATTTGTCCTGAATGACTAATACCCATTAATCTTCTGTCATCATGTGAAATATACATTAAACATCCCATCATTATCATTTCAGTCGTCGTGTTCTACCAAAGTACCCTCAAATACATTTTCTCTTTTCTAGTCAGGACGCAATTCTCGGTGTCGTCACGCAATTCACTTCGCTGTCGTCTTCAGATATCGTGTTTCTCAAGACGACATTTACCGTAGCCCCCTCGTTATTTTGGCATCTAAACAATGCACCCCTTTGCCGCAGCCCCTTGCTTTAAGCAAAAATAAGCCCGATGGTGAAGCTCACGGGTCTCTGTCCGTTCCGTCAACTCGTCTGCTCTAATTCTACCTCCAGCCCTTTGGTCACAAAGGGATCCTTTTTTAGTTGATTTTTTGATCGCTGACTTTGAATGACGCCTGTACAAATCACGACAGCAGCGTTCGAAATTTGGTTAGATATGCTGCAGCTTGCGCGTTGCAACTTCACGGGCCAAAAAAGTAGTCCCGATAGCTTTGAATATATTACCCATGCAAGAGGTGTATCGATCAAAGGGTACTTGAAGGATAACATGCGCGGATTATTTTTTGCAGCTATGTTACTGTAAAATGGAACCAAAGACGCTGAGGCTGAGATATAGATTCACTCTTTCCCTCTCTCTCTCATCGGACATAATGTCACATAAATATGCCACGCTGCCGCAAAGAACGGAGTTTGCTTTCCATCCAAAATTCAATATTTGCATCATCATCCATTTTTTGCATTATGATTATGCTATATTATCATCATCTGCATGTAGCGGAAAAAAAGTAAATATTTTTTTTTACTTAAAACTTTTTTTCTTAGTGAAAAAAAAGTAAACTGTGCATGAATGAAAGTAAATACAAATGAAAAATTTGCAATAGTGTTTGTTTTTGTGTTCATAAGTCCAACATTGAAGCTTTATGCATTTACTGATTATTTCAAACTTTTTTTCGGCTCACTGACCATCAGTCTATGGCAGCATCAATCTATTAGTGAGCTAGTTATTTCTTAATCAAGGTAGTGATTTATTTTGTTTAGTTATAATTTTTGGTTTTCTGATCGGGCGTAAATCGTCAAAAGTTGATCGAAATTTACATTTTCACAAAGAGGTTTCCTTTTTCAGAAAAGATTAAGGAATACGAAACTACTATGGATATTTTTTGCATCTTAAATTGACTGCATCAGTAAAGTCAAATAGTATTGTTCCTGAGAAAATCTATTGTATTGTTATGATATTATTTATTTGGTTAAAAACGAAAACAAGCAATGAGTTACTTTACTTTTTTAATTCCTTTCCTTAATTCGTGACACTTTTCAAAACAGTCTTCATTCTTATTTTGAAATTTAATTTGAACTGAAATTTAATTTGAACTTATTATGACAATTACTCGGAGCGTTTTATGAAATCAGGCTAAAGTTGGATTCTGTTAAT